GAACTCACTAAACATATATTGGAGTTTGCTTTTCCAGATATCTATGCATAGGACTGAAAATGTTTCTATATTTCGGAATGTTTGCACAGAATAGATTATTACTGTCAGCTTTTGCTATAATAAGTGTCTCCTATTAGATGCAATCTGTTCAAATTACAGACACTCCATAGTGTAATTCCATGCTGTAATACGGTGAGAAATCCCCCCCCAGGGGACATATTAATGACATATGTCATATCATTAAAGCATGCACAGCGTTCTGCAGCATTTTCTCAGAACAGCCAGATTCGGAGCCGTAGGCTCAGTCCAGGTTCACCACTCCCAGTCATCTGCCTATTCTTGTTAACGTTCATTTTTTTAATCCTAGATCTCATTTTAATACTCGGCACATTTGTTACACACACACACACACACATGGGGAAATGTATCAAAACTGGAGCAGACAGTTTTGGCACAATAGGCGGAATCGTCGTTTTCACACGTTGAAGCACCCGACGCATGTTTGCGTGTGTATGTGGGGGAGGGCGGGGGACTTTAACCTCCCTGGCGGTAATCCCGAGTGTGGCTCGGGGTTAATTTTCAGTACCAAAAGTGGTAACCCCGAGCCACACTCGGGATTACACTGTAGCGTCACTTACCTTGTCCCTATGAGCCCTGCTGTGTCCTCCTGCCGATGCCAGCATCCGTCTTCCTTCCCTTCCTTGTCACTATTTTTTTAGCTTCTTTATTTTGTTTTATGCTTTAATTTTAACATTGTTTTTTTACACTTACCTTTGTTGCTATCACACAGGGGTCTAAAAAAACCCCTATATGATAGCCAATTCAAATAACAGGTCCCCTTAATGGAGATTTCAGGGGTCTCCAAGACCCCTAATGTCACCTAGGGACCCCAGAGATCCCTAGGTGACACATCACACCGGCATCTGTAACCGGAGAGTGACACTGAATGCAGGAAGTGATGTAATACACATCACTTCCTGCATTCGGGGACCAGAGAGGAGTTTAAATGTACCAATCTCCCTTTGATCTCCACTAACAGCGTCGCCGTGCCGGTCAAAGCTGCACTAAAAATCACATCAGCGTATAGCTCTACATGCTGATATACAATCATTTTACATTCATTAGTTAACCAGTTGACATCCGCGGTGTTAAACCCCCTTCCCATCCAGGCCATTTTTCAGTATTCAGCGCTGCGGTACTTTGACTGACATTTATTCTGTCATGCAGCGCTGTACTGAAATTAATTTTATACCCTTTTTTGGGGACAGATAGAGCTTTCTTTTGGTGGTATTTATTCACCACTGGGGTTTTTATTTTTTACTATATTAAGGAAAAATTACCGATTTAGGAAAAAACAAAACAGTTTCCCCTATATTAAATGATAAAACATTTATTATTACCCAATTGTTTGGTAAAATATAAAAGACGGGGTCACGTCGGGTAAAATGGATTCAAGGTGAGGGGTCAGGGGGGGAACCGGCGGCCGCGCGGGGATCCGAAAAAACGAGCACATATAGACAATCGGCGGGCTATGGAGCCGCTGATCGTCTATATGTGAAACACCCGGTAACGGGTGTTTGTATTGGTCGGGTCTTTCCTGCCCGTGCGTGCCCGCTAGGGGGCGCGCGCGAGCAGAAAAAAAATGCCGTCTGGAGACGGCAACCCGCCAATGCTGAAGTGCCGTCCGTCCGTTTTTTTACAATGGGCGGACGGCAAGTGGTTAAACAGATATATTTATCATTTAATGACATATACAGTTAATCCACTTCCAGGTCCTCCTGGGCATAAGTGGTGTAATGTGCCCAAGCATTGCATCCTGGGAAGGTTACATCAGCAGAGCATTGCTGGCAAATCTCATCACAAGATCTCAGGGAAAGGCATTTTCCTCCCCTGAGATGATGTGCATGGTCACATGTCTAGTCACATGTGCCAGAGTTCCAGGAAGTAAAGGAAGATCTAGTGCCCTGCCCTTAGTAAAAATGGCCACTGTGAGAAGACTGGGGAAGAAAAGAGAAATAAGGTATGCAAAGAATAACAAAACGGCAATAATCTAGACCAGTGGTTCTCAACCTGTGTAACCTCAGAACCCACATTTGTCCATGGTTAGTAAGTCGCGACCCAAGTCACACTCCAATGGAATCCACAGCATTGCGGTCCCGCGTGTTCTGGTGCGGGCGATCGAACTGTAGGTGGGAGGTGCGTTTGGAATGCTATCCAAAGATCCACTATCTGCTACACCAATCTTCCACCTCTGTCCCTTCCTGCAGGAGATTGCCATGTGGGGGCGGGGTCACATCCAGTCCCCTCCCCCTGCTCTTAACATTGGACGAGGGCAGTAGAATCCCCACCATACAGCATAGTGACATACATAACCTTCCCACAGCTGCTCCATGTACAGCCAGGGTAGGCCAACTGTCAATGGAGTTGTCAACTGTCATTCCCAGCTAAGCAATCTGCCATTGGCTGCCTGGGCTGTCACTCACAAAATATTAGCATACAAATGTAATGGCATTCTGGGAAATGTGCTGCATAATCCCAGTGTTGATTAAACCTTACATTTTTTGGTTTGTTGAATGGTTTTTAGTGGTCAGTGGGATTTGGATGTGATGTTTATATTAATAAAGATTTTATTGTGATCAGGTATACTAGATGATTGGTAACTGATATGGAGTGCTGAGGCAAGGTTGGTTGCTGTCTCCTCCCAATCTCTATCGGAGAGTGGAGGCTCCCACCATTTCCCCTGCACTCTGATTGCTACTATCCTCTGTTCTGTCCTGTCCAAGACTGTCCACTCCATTTCCATACTACGTGTGGTTCTTGGAGGCCTCCCCACACATGCTCTGTCCTATCCTGGACTTTGCAAGGGGCTCTGCTCCTGGCCCAAATGGCTACCTCCACCTTCCCTTGGCAGCCAGAAGCCAGCTTCCACGACGTTCTTCTTTAGGTAAAATACAAAATATAGCGTCATGGCAAGTAAATGCCAAAAATGTCAAGCCTTAAAATTGCATGCCCCCCTTGAAATGGCAAAAAACTACCAAAATTGCGTAAAAAGCCTTCACCGCTAACAAGCTCTTTATACGATAGTACAGATCCGGTGACAGGTCCTTGTTATGGACCACAGCTGCTGGAGTGCCAAGGTTGCCTACCCCTGCACTAAAAAAATGCTGAGTGCTGTGTGCATTCTGTAGGCTGGCATTGTAGCCTAGTGGTTAGCACTCCTGGTCCCAGGTTCAAATCCTGGTCTGGACACCATCGGCATGGCATGGAGTTTGTATGTTTTCCCTGTGTTTGTGTGGGTTTCCTCCCTCTATGGACATGCTGGTAGATTCATCAGACTTAGTATGTATAGATGTGAGATAGGGACTGTGAATGCGCAGTATAGACCATACCATGAGGCATTGCAAGACTCTGACAGCCATAGGCATGATGGGAGTTGGAGTTCAGCACAGAGTAAGGGGGGTGCGGCCCGCACCCGGGTGACACCATTGGAGGGGTGACACCAAAATGGCTGACAATTATTTCGGTGTCACCCTCTCTAAAAAGTCGGGCACTCGGTCATGGACTGAGAGCCCCACAGTGTCAGGAGAGAAGAGGGGACCTGGCGACATACCTCATCCCGCCGCCTCTCTCTCCCGGCGTCCATAACCAAGATGACCACCGGCAGGCGTCAATTAGATGACCGCGCATGCGTGATGATGTCATCGCGCACGCTTGTGGTGACATCACACGTATGCGCGATGACGTCAAGGTGGGGTGTCACCCGGTTTCCGCTCCAGGTGACACCCAGCCTCAGGACGCCCCGGTTATGGAGTGCCAAGATTGCCTACCCCTGCACTAGAAAAATGCTCAGTGCTATCCACATCATATAGGCTGGCGTTGTAGCAGTGACGTGCAGTACATTCTGTGCTGGGTGAGGCATTCCCCGGCCCCGCCCTGCGGACACCTCGCCCCCCAAACCTATGTGTGGAGGAGGGAGGGAGAAGACAGGAAGGAGCCTCCATGTCCCTCACTGATGAGGCATCGAAATCGATGTCCTCAGTGTTTTTCTTTTTGTGATTGGACAGCTTGGACCAATGGTTTTTTGCCATTGGTCCAAACAATCCTCAGAGCTCACACCTCTAACACAGAGTAGAGGCTGTTGCAGCTCTGGCCTTACTATGTTAGGTTACACAAGCAGTGGGGAAGCCCGGTGCTGTGTGCAGAGCTGCCTGTAATCAACAAGCAGCGCTCAGTCCATGACAGGTTACACAGCGGGGAGGATTTCCCTGCTCTGTAATCTGTTACAAGCCGCTCTGAATGGAGAAAAAGCTGTCAGCTTCAGACTTGAAGCTGAAAGCTTTTTCCTCCATAATACTAGCTGAGGCTCTGCCTCCCCTGACCGCACGTCCTTGCATTGTAGCATAGTGGTTAGCGCTCCCACCATAAATCAGGGCACCTACTGGCAGTAGTTGTAGTACAACTGGTCATCAAACATAGATTTTGAGTAAAATAAAATACACTCAAATGTATTTTTGTGGACACGGGCACAATATAACACCCATTTCTTGGTAAAATATAAAAAAGAGGAGCTTGTGTTGAGTAAATAGATACCAAACATGGCAACCCTTAAAATTGCGTGCTCCTGCGAAAATGCAAAAAACAACGATACCCCAAATTGCCCCGTTAGCAACGCATAAAAAGCATTTACAGGTCATTAGATGTACTATGTCTAAGGCGCATAATTCTAGCTCCTCATAGAGAGGAACATCTCCCGTGAACATGAGTAATACACACCAAATGCACATTTTCTACACCACTAGATTCGGATCCAATGTAGATGGGAATATTTTAGGAAGCCCCTGTGTCCATGAGCCGTAAAATTCCTGTTAGCGGGCTCCAGGAGTTCTATGTGCACTATGGTGCTCTGAAATTTCTGGGGTCCTCTATGACAGCGGTGGTTACCCCATCACCGCGATCCCCCTCCTGGAGCTGCCACACTAAAGATGGCGGCTCGGGGATGACGCCGGCGCGCGGTGACGTCATGCGGCCCTGGGCACGGCAGGCCGGGCAGGGGAAAGGCAAAGTTTGGCAATGTGAGTGCTGGGGAAGAAGTGAGAGTAAGACACCGGGGGAAGGGGAGAAGACAGAGCGGCCTCCGGGAACTGCCCTCACCGGGTCCCTTCCATCTCCGGCCTCGGAGCCTCACCTACACGTGGATTCGTCGGCCCTGTCCACCAGCCACAGACAGACATAACCGCCGCTGAGCCCGACTGTCATCCAACAACCCCTCTGCGGAGGCTAGAGACATGACGGAGCCGGACCTCAGCTCCTTGCCATGGTCCATCAACAGGGATGACTATGAGCTGCAGGAGGTGATCGGTAAGTGCTGGGTGTGGTTGTATGGACAGCTTGATGGCTAACTACAAGTGACAGCATGCCCTGCGGAGAGCCGTATACCCCGATCACCAGGTTGCTGGAGCCTGTAGGGACCGTGCAAGTCCTGTATGGCCCTCAGCAGATGGGGACAGTTACGTTACACTTGCCCCCCACCCTTTGACATGTTATGTGCACTTCCTGTGTGTGTGTGTGTGTGTGGACAGATCGGTGACCTGGGGAAGGTTGGCTATGAATTGCAGTAGTATGGGGTGTGACAAGCCTTGTGTGCTCTGGATCTGCCATGGGGGAGTGTTAGCTGTGATTGTGTATATAGAGCTCCTGTGTGATCTGACAACCTGGAAATGCTCATAGACTTGTTCCAGTCACACAGTGCCAAGAGGAGTGTCAGTGGGTTCTACAGTGCCAATTGGTTCTATGGTGCCAGGAAGGGAGGCAGTGGATTCTGCGGTGCCAAGAGAAGTGTCAGTGGGTTCTGCAGTGCCAGACAGGGAGTTGGTGGGTTTTGCAGTGCCAAGCGGGGAGCCGGTGGGTTTTACGGTGCCAGCGGGGGGGCCGGTGGGTTTTACGGTGCCAGCGGGGGGGCCGGTGGGTTTTACGGTGCCAGCGGGGGGGCCGGTGGGTTTTACGGTGCCAGCGGGGGGGCCGGTGGGTTTTACGGTGCCAGCGGGGGGGCCGGTGGGTTTTACGGTGCCAGCGGGGGGGCCGGTGGGTTTTACGGTGCCAGCGGGGGGGCCGGTGGGTTTTACGGTGCCAGCGGGGGGGCCGGTGGGTTTTACGGTGCCAGCGGGGGGGCCGGTGGGTTTTACGGTGCCAGCGGGGGGGCCGGTGGGTTTTACGGTGCCAGCGGGGGGGCCGGTGGGTTTTACGGTGCCAGCGGGGGGGCCGGTGGGTTTTACGGTGCCAGCGGGGGGGCCGGTGGGTTTTACGGTGCCAGCGGGGGGGCCGGTGGGTTTTACGGTGCCAGCGGGGGGGCCGGTGGGTTTTACGGTGCCAGCGGGGGGGCCGGTGGGTTTTACGGTGCCAGCGGGGGGGCCGGTGGGTTTTACGGTGCCAGCGGGGGGGCCGGTGGGTTTTACGGTGCCAGCGGGGGGGCCGGTGGGTTTTACGGTGCCAGCGGGGGGGCCGGTGGGTTTTACGGTGCCAGCGGGGGGGCCGGTGGGTTTTACGGTGCCAGCGGGGGGGCCGGTGGGTTTTACGGTGCCAGCGGGGGGGCCGGTGGGTTTTACGGTGCCAGCGGGGGGGCCGGTGGGTTTTACGGTGCCAGCGGGGGTGTCGGTGGGTTCTGCGGTGCCAGCGGGTCCATCAGTGAGGTGTTCTTAGGTTCTACTGTGTCCATGGGTTTTACACTGCCTGGAAGGTTTTATGGTGCCATGACGGTGTCCATCGGTTCTACATTGCTTGGTGGGGTTTCCGTGGGTTCTATGGTTCCAGGAGGGGTGTCCATGTGTTTTACAGTGGCAGGAGCACAGAGTCCATGGGTTCTACAGTGGCAGGAGGGTTTCCATAGATTCTACAGGGCCAGAAGGGGTGTCCGTGGGTTCTAAGGTGTCAGGAGGGCTGTCAGTGGGTTGTGTAGTGCCATGTCGGTGTCCATGACTTCTACATTGCCAGGAGGCATGTCCATAGGTTTTACGGTGCCAGGAGGAGTGTCCAAAGGTTCAATGGTGTTAGGAGGTATTCATGGGTTTAATGGTGCCAGGAGGGGTGTCCTTACGTTCTACAGTGCTAGGCAGTGTGCCATTGGTTTCTTCAGTGCCAGGATGGATGTCAATAGGTTTCCATGGGTTCTACAGTGCCAGGAGGGGGGGTCTGTGTGTTAAATGGTGCCCACGCTGTTATTTTTATTACTGTGTCATCGGCTTACTCTCTGTGTTGACAGAGATTCACATGTATGAACTGACAATGAGGCAGCTTTTGTTGTGTGTTGGTGTGTGTTTTTATTAATGCGCTCATATACTAATATGATACAGTGAGATCATGCTGGAAGGGTGGCAAGTGTGTATAGATACCGTCTCAAGTAATGTGGATGGTATGAGATGTGTGAGAGCAGGCTATGACAGCGGGAACCTGTCAGGACCCATTGCTGCTTCTGGGAATTGAGCAGTAACACTCTCCTGTAATGGATCAGTGGTGAAGGGGAACATGATATGACGGGTTCCCTTACGGCTTCCTTGAAAGTGTTAGTAGGTAGTTGCAACAGTGTGAAGTAGCCTGCGAGTGATGCCATAGAAAATGACACTTGCAACAAGGGCACGTTCACACGATATCAGTTAAGCTGCATATATCAACACAGGCTCAGTGAAAGGGCACATAGGAAACTTTTATTTTCAATGTGCCCTGTTCACACAATTAGAAATGGGACTCCAGCACTCCCACTGCAGATCAAACGCGTCTTTTATCGACGTTGATGCGACATATCACACAAGTGCAACGTTTCGTGGTCACACAGATCCCCTTCCTCAGGCAGAAGATGTGACCTGTTCATACAATAACGCTTTGTTGAAGTGTGTCGCGTCGCTTTAAAATGCAGCACAATTCACCGCACCACAGCGTCATTTTGTGACACTTCAATTAAGTAAAAAAAAGAACGAAAAGTAAACAGTGTGATGCGTAGTAGCAGTGTATTGCACCACCGCTCACCGCCCAGATCGTACACCAGTGCATGCCTTAGCATGTGGGCTGGTCTGAATGAGCCCTATGAGCCTGAGTAATTGCAGCAATTATTATATACTAGTGACAGATGTACATGGTTTCAGGTCTTATGTCTAAATATATGGTATATAGTGTAGCTTCCAGCAGTTTCATTGTATTGTTTGCTGCATTTTTATTTACAATAGAGAATTAAAAACATCTGGATGGGTTTTCTATAACTTTTGTAGTTATTTAAAGGTGAACTTTACATTCACCCAGACACATTCACCCTTCTGAACTGGGAAATTCATTGACTCTTTGTAGATACAATATAGGGCCACAGGGTTGTCAATAGAAATGTGACCATCACCGATACAATTTTGTTGGACATCCTGTTCCAAAGCTGTGGCATTAATATGGAGCTGCGTGTTCTTCCGGGCTCCCCTTGTAGTTATACCAGCCACCACTCCTCTGGGAAGGTTCCATGAGATTGTGGGGTTTGCCTTGGGGAATTTGTGTCCGTTCAGTCAATAGGTTACAGTCCATGTACCCACTGCACTCCTGACCGCACGTCCAACAAAGTATCCTGGGTGCTCAGTAGTCGACGGATGGCCACCGTCAAAGTAATGCAGAAAAGAAATGGACACCGGCACTCCAATAATAAATCGATTACGTCTATTTATTGACGTACATCAAAAGCAAAATAACACACTTAGTGCGACGTTTCGGGGACACACAGGAACCCCTTCATCAGGGGTTCCTGTGTGTCCCCGAAACGTCGCAATAAGTGTGTTCCTGTGTGTCCCCGAAACGTCGCACTAAGTGTGTTATTTTGCTTTTGATGTACGTCAATAAATAGACGTAATCGATTTATTATTGGAGTGCCGGTGTCTATTTCTTTTCTGCGTTCAGTCAATAGAACATTTGTGAGGCCAGGCTGATGATGAATGAGAAGGCCTGGCGAACAATCGGCATTTCACTTGATTCCAAAGATGTTCAGTAGGGTTGAGGTCAGGGCTCTGTGCAGGTTCCCCCACATTGAGCTCCTCGAACCTCAGTCATGCTGGAGCAAAAAAGGGCCTTCATCAAACTGTTGCCATGAGGTTGGAGGTGCACAATTATCTAAAATGCCTTTGTATGAGGTAGAACAGGGGTAGACAAATTATAATGGAATCCAGGAGCCAGAAGGATTTTATTTTTAGGAGCCAGTGCCTTTGACAACAACTAGAGAACCTCAAAAGTTAAGTGCCAGCTGTAATATTTAACACTTTTTCTGCCAAAGTGGATGCAGATGTTATAATGCCCATTTTAGTCCTGAAAATTACTTGAATCCCCAAGAGGTATATATTTCCTGAAAGCACAGACCCTGTAGAATAAATGGCAGCAGTTTCAAATGTATTAGTTGTGCGATATTAGCACTCCAGGCAAACAGCCAAATACACAGATGACGTTTATATAAATAAACTCTTATACCCTCCGGATTTGTATTTTTCTCCATCCAGCCTAAGATTTACACAGCTCTGCCACAGAGCACACTCCTGTCTGGCAGGGCAGAAGAGTTGATTTTTCACTGTTTCAGTTTCATTTTTACTTTGGGTCCCCTCTCCACCCCCGCCCTGAGACTGGACAGGAACAGGAGAAGCAGCACATTAATGAGCTCATCTCTCAATATGTCACTATGTTCTCCTATTAGTATGCTCCTTGCTCTTCAGCACAACCTAATGGCTGCTTATTCCTCCCCCTGTGAGCTCTGCTGCATAGACAGTGCAAGAACCTGATACCAAATTGGGGTACACTGCCTACATGTAAAGAAAAATACAACTAAGGACATATTAAAGGAGGTGTAAAGTCCCAGCGTATCCTCTCCGGTTATAACATCAGCATTGGAATAGGAATACATACAAGAGTTGTACTTCATAATGCAATCAAAGCTAACTTGGAAAAAAAACAACCTTTTATGTAGTGAGTGCTGCCTTCTGCCTGCCCATCACTTTCCACATCTTCCTGGATTCCCATATCTCCTTCCCTGCTTCATGATGTGATGCAATCTTGATTTCTTAAGCCTACATATCCCATCATGCATTGCTTCCAGCAAGCATTGATAATGTTACATTGTTGAGACGTTAAGTTGTAGTTCAGAAGGCAGGCTCTGTACATATTGTGAAATTGTGTCACTGCATTGAGGATAGAGCTGCAGCTAACGATTATTTTCAAAATCGATTAGTTAGCCGATTATTAGGTTCGATTAATCGGTTAATCGGATAAACAATAAAATAAAAGTTTTAAAAAAGGCTTGCGGGTCTGGCAGCGGCGAGCATGAGGTGGGGAGGAGGTGCGGCGCACAGCGTGTG